AGAGAGAGAGAGAGAGACAGACAGAGAGACACAGTTTGGACCTGTGTGACACGAGGCTCTTACTTGGTGGTGCTCGACAGATCCAGTCTCTGTTCGTCCTCCTCGTCCGAGCTGCTGCTGTCGTCCGAGTCCGACGGCTTTGGCTCCGGCTGCTCCTGACCAGACAGCAGCGTGGCCGACTGAGAGAGAAACGAGCAGCGGCAAAGTCATTTCAGAGCAGATTCACCGTCTGGCACGAAGCTGTCGTGTTTCCACAGAAATACATGGAAACATTTTAGATCCAAAGCAGAACAGAGTTTCTAAATGAACGTCTGAAGCCGGCGTCGCAGTCTTTTTGATGAAACAGAGACACATTGACTGTTTATAGAGAAGAGTGGAACTGATCACCTTGACAAAGCATCCGTAGAGTTTGTCTTTAGCCAGCGTGGCCTTCCGTGGTTTTTTATTGGAGATCATTCCATCTTCCTCCTCCTCCACCGTCTTCCTCAACTTAATACCGTTCTGGATCGCACAGAAAAACAGGAAACACTTCAGCTTCTGATTAAAACTCAAACCAGCTGAGTCAGCTCACTGACAAGAAGGGGGGGGGGGGGCATGTACCTGATCAGACTCCACCTGCAGACTGGAGGACGCCTTATTGAAGACATGATCCCACCAGTGGAAGGTGAACTGCTCTCCTTCCTTGTGGCCGACCTAAAGAGAAGCAACACGTGAACCTACTAACGATGATGATGAGGAGGAGGATGATGATGATGAGGAGGAGGAGGAGGAGGACCCTGAACGGTTGAACCCCTTCACGCATCTTTACACACTCACCCCTCCTTTGTCACACTTCACTTTGACCTTGATGGCTTCACAGATCCCGTTCTCAGCTCGGCCGAGTCCTTTACCTGAGGACAGAGAGAGAGAGGACCGAGTGTGAGACCTGAGTCTGCCGCCTCGTGGAGGTCGGTCAGCTGATCAGAGGAGAACGTCATTTACCGTGTTCCCAACCGTGACGCAGGAGCTGCCGCTCTGCAAACTTCAAGCCACGACTTTTCTCCTGCACAGCTTCTGCCATCTGAGCACGGGACAGTCGAACACGAACAACAAATAATAAAATGTGCAACAATAACTTTCAACACAACAGATATTTAACTGGGACCAAGATTATAAATCACATGGAAACAGACGAGATATATTTCTGCAACACAACACTGTGACTTCAGTAACTGTTCATCAGATATTCAGTCAATGACAACGTTTCAAAACCAACTGAATCCAACAGATGTTTCATGTGAAGCTCAGACCCTGAAACACGTCGCTCAACTTGATGAAACAGAGAAAAAGTTAAAGAAGAAATTCAATTATTAAATAATTCGGACTCATATTATGTTAGATGAGGTAAATTAGATCGATATGGATTTCTGTTCACCAAAAACAGAAACCCTGAGCTTTATTATAACTGTAAATAAAAAGAAAACAGGATATCATTGAGAAATCAAACATTAGACAGTTAAACTGACGGACATTAATAAAACTTCCTCACGTACACTTCCTGTCAACATGTGGATCTGAGGCTCGTGGTTAGAAGATATTTAACTTGTAAAAGAAAACTTCTGTTTATTGTTCATTAAACTTTGTGTGTTTCTTCACTGTTGTTCTGACTGTAGCAGACTCTCATTAGAAAACACGTGAATGTTAGCATGTTAGCATCAGCAGCTCCGACTGGAGCCTCGGCTACATTAAACCCGATCTGTCGTCGGATGAAGCTTTGAATCGCAACACGGACACAAAGAAGAGTCAAAGCAGGTTTACCTCTCGATGTCCTGTTGCATTAAAGCTCCAGTGAAAAACCCACGAGGCTGTAAAACCCGAGAGATTCAAACACAGCGACAGACACCGGACATGTGGCTGCTACAGGAAGCTGACATGACACCGGAAACACGTCACCACGGAGGCTTTCTTCTTCCCTGGAGATATTTCCAGTGAGTGAGTGGAACCTGACCACGTGTTGTTGGTTTAATGATGGTGAATGAATGATGGTGAATAAATGATGGTGAATGATGGTGAATGATGGTGAATGATGGTGAATGATGAGTGAATGATGAGTGAATGATAAGTGAATGATGATGAATGATGGTGAATGATGAGTGAATGATGGTGAATGATGAGTGAATGATGGTGAATGATGAGTGAATGATGAGTGAATGATGAGTGAATGATAAGTGAATGATGATGAATGATGAGTGAATGATGGTGAATGATGAGTGAATGATGGTGAATGAT